AGAATAAATAGTTACCACTTGTAATTAGCTTGCAAAAAAGCCCAAAAGACAAAATGGGCTTAATTCATCAGGAAGGAAGTATTTTCATATCTATTATGAAACGTTGTTTTCTTATGCTCATTTCATCTTGATTTTTTTCATTTAGTTGGTAAGATGAAACTCATTAAATTCAAATTTACACAGTAATAACTTTCTGTTAATTTGAGAAACATAGACTAGCAAAACGTCTACACAAAACAAAAGATTCACTTTAACAGTAATTACTCATAACATAAGTCTTGCTAATTTTCAATATAACAACTGCACCTATTTAAATATTCCTGTAGATTAGTTAGTGGGCCTTAAATATGTCGTGAGTTTTAAGTATTATTTCGATAGTTTCAAGTTATTTATTTTTTAGCATGGAATCACGTAGTTATTATAAATAGTCATGTGAGTATAGTGTCCAGCCAGAGTATACGTCAGTAGGTGTATGCATAGAAGAATCCAATCCTCACGCTTATGAATAATACGACAGTTCAAGCAACATTCTAACCGATCTAATTAAGTAAATTATATAATAAGAAATATTCAGTTTTGAAATTATAGTTATCTTCCACTCCTAAGGTCAACTATAATACTATGATTTGCAAGCATTACATTTATGTCCAACTACTAATGAAACCCATTGTCTTGGTAATGAAAGATTCCTAATCAATCACAAGCATCCTGGAAATATCACACTTATATTGAACATTTAACTCATACACGGTGATTACATTTTAACGCTTGTCTTCATCTTCTTCGAGATTAGAAATGAATTGTAGTGTATAGATGATTTGGTTTTTTTTCGACTTCTAATTTTCATCTTTTTGGTTGTATTGTGTTTTCTGAGCTAGGTTGTTTAATCGTGAGACTTTCATCGTTCTTCTAGATGACATCATCAGCACCAACTTCATACTTCATACTTCAGTATGAAGTTGGTGCTGATGATGTCGTTTAGAAGAACGACGAAAGTCTCACGATTAAACAACCTAGCTCAGAGAACACAATAGAACCAACACCATCCACCTGAGCTACAAATGTTCTCCACTATTTCAATTTTCTTCTTTACTGATACAGTTAAATTGACCATCACAAGTGGTTTCCAACCATGAACTGTTCTCCTTTCTGTTTTCTCTTTTCTCCTTTTGTCAATCTGCTATTATTTGATAGTGCTTGAAAAAAAAGAGGAATAAATAACTCTAATACGCTTGCATGTTTTTGCCTTTTAAAACTAATTGATTTATTTCTAGATGACTGAAAAATATAATCAAAATACTAATGGGATGAGAGCTAAAATAAAGCGTTCCATTTTCTAGGCGGTTTTCTCTACACCTTATGGATTTTTTAAAAAATTATTTTGAATATATACTAAACTGTTAATTTGCCTTTTTTTAAATGTAATATTTGTCAAAAAAAAAGGAAAAGAAACGTAAAGAGGCTGAAGAAGCCTCAAAAAAACAACGTAAACCTGGACAAAAACGCAAAGGTTTAGGTGGCCTATCCAAGGAGAAGAAACGATTATTGAAAGTAAGCTAATTTCTATTTTATTTCAAGTGTTTGTCTACGTTCTCATATGAAGTAGACAATATCTAAAATGTAACCAGTATACTGTTTTTTGTCATGTATATATACACTTGATTATTCATTGGTAATTAGAAATTACATCTTTCATTTACACGTATAGAAACTCATTTGTTATGTGAAAATTAAACGTTTCCACAATAAACCAAATAGTTAAGAATAAGGGGAACAACTACATATGGATTCACACTCAGGGAATTTGAGCACAAAGTTGAAACAGTAACGTAGGCAGGTTTGAATAAATATCTAGGCATGTATATTATCAGGCTTCAAGCTTATACCTAACTTAGTCAATAATTTATTGTAGATATCAAGTTGTGTAACACATAATGCATTTCAACAGTTAGAAAATGATCCTTTCAAAGGAAGAGACAAGAATAGATGAAGGTATAATAAGAATCACATCGAAGAACTAAAGCTTACACAGAAGACAAATGTCGATCGTTTGGTGTTATCTAAGCTTTGAGGTGTCTTACTAGGCTAGGTGACTTCATCAGTATGAATACTTATAAAAAAATATTTGCCGAAATTCAGTGTTATTGGCTTGTGATCTTGCTATCTATTTTATCGAAGGTCAACATTTGTAACTTGTTTTTTATGTTTGACCCATACTACTGACCTAATATCTAATTATTGATTTACTTGACTGATAACCATTTGGCTGATTCTTTTTTCGTAGTCCATATATTGGGTTAGTATGCACCAGTCTATTAGTTGCCATCCGATTGGAGTACCATGTTTCCATGATATTTTGAATATACTCTCTTGCTAATGACAGCAATTATGAGATATTCATGATACATGGATATACACAAGCCTCACATTTTTGAAAATAATATCTTTATAGCGCAAAATTCTTATTCCAAGCTATTATTATACACACAAAACTACTGAATCGCTTCAAAGTTCCTTTAAAACCATTCCAGAATTCAATAATAAATACGAATATTAGAAAGCACATGAATCCTAGACATGCGTTTCTTTCTGTTTAAGATTTATAAGCAGGATAAACCTGTTTTATAGTGTTATTACCCATATTAGGACTTGGTCTCAGACCCAAACGCTTCAAACATCAGAACTTTATCCACCGAGCTACTTGGTTACTACAGTCACTTCTTATGCGACTGGAACTGTCAACAACAGTTTTCTTTACTAATCAGAAGTAATATTGGTGTTAACGGGCTCAAAAGCATCGAAATTTCAAACCATGTCCGTTATAGAAATTATCCTCAGGGCGGATAGCCTATCAGCTAGGTCGAGAGTACATTCAAACTTCTACGGTTTCGCACTTACTAATGACTAGTTCTTTAATCAAAGGATAGATCGACAATCTTGGTTGTACTGTGTTCTCTGAGCCAGGTTGTCTACTCGTGGAGCCTTCGTCGTCTTTCTAGACAACATCATCAGCACTAACTTCATTATGAAGTGAGCTGTCAACATCTATCCGTAGGTGATTCACTAAATTGCCCTGACCAAATGGTTTGTGATTTGTTTGTCCCTCTGATTGTTGTGTCATAAATATTCCTATTGACTGTCCCTCTGCTTGACCTCTGACATTTCTGTTGTTTACCATTTTTCTCACTGTTTGATAGATTGGGTCTATGTCTATACATCTATTGATTGCTGACTGACCTGAATGCCAAGCTTCTAGGAATTCTCTGATATTCTTTGTATTTCCCCTGTCCAAGATCACTTTGTACACTGTCGAAGTAGAATTCATGTCCATAAATATCTGTGTGCATTGAAATGAGTGATGGAATGTCGTGAGGTTTAATGGACAATTATTGTTCATGTAAACGAAGGCGAAGAGGGTGACCACTTGATCCAATATAGTACTGACGACATTTATTGGAGTTGATTTTATAAGTGATATTCGATTCGTCTTCCGTGGTTATTGCATCCTTTGGTTTGTATAATAGGGTTTGGAGGAATGTTTGTTGGTTTATGAGCCACACTAATTCCAAGTAATCACAGTAATCTTGTCGTGATTTATGATATATTCCTTAAGTAATGTAGGATGATACTTTTATTGATTTCTGTCAATGACTTTGTAGCTGATAAAGTATGGAATTGGTATCTTCTGATAAATTTTCGCAGGTAGCCGTTCTCCTTTAGGATGGACATCAAGAAATTTTACTCCTTTCTCTAAGGAGTTATTGTACTGCAAAGTGTTCCCGTTTCTTTGAATGGAGTCTGCATGCAACTTGGTTTGTGCGTTGTTGGATTGTTGCTACTATAATTGAGTATTTGATCACTGGGTGTTGGGTCCCGGTACACTTGGGTCTCCAGTTTTTCAGAAACATCCAGGTAAAGTAGTTTGTTGTTAGCCTTCGTTTACATGAACAATAATTGTCCATTAAACCTCACGACATTCCATCACTCATTTCAATGCACACAGATATTTATGGACATGAATTCTACTTCGACAGTGTACAAAGTGATCTTGGACAGGGGAAATACAAAGAATATCAGAGAATTCCTAGAAGCTTGGCATTCAGGTCAGTCAGCAATCAATAGATGTATAGACATAGACCCAATCTATCAAACAGTGAGAAAAATGGTAAACAACAGAAATGTCAGAGGTCAAGCAGAGGGACAGTCAATAGGAATATTTATGACACAACAATCAGAGGGACAAACAAATCACAAACCATTTGGTCAGGGCAATTTAGTGAATCACCTACGGATAGATGTTGACAGCTCACTTCATAATGAAGTTAGTGCTGATGATGTTGTCTAGAAAGACGACGAAGGCTCCACGAGTAGACAACCTGGCTCAGAGAACACAGTACAACCAAGACTATCCGCCTGAGCTACAAATACTCTCCACCATTTCGAGTTCGATAATCAAAATCCATGAATACTAACTCTTAATTGGACAGGCAACTTAACTGTTGGCCTCATCCAGTACATAAATCTCTTGAATTTAGCCTTTCTGCAAGATATCAGCAGTTGAGTCCTCTTCCTAGATTTTACTTGGTCTAGCCTGTTATTAGAATATTCAGTCTTTTGTAGTTATACTCAGTTACCTACAGACATTCCTCTGTCACTGAACACATTGCTCTTCCGACTGAAATATATTTATCTATAACAATTTCAATAAAGCGAAAACTAATAGTCTGTGATAAAACGTATAGGAATGTTGAGTTTGAAAACTCAGTCTTTTGGTCAGACAAACTAATGACTTATATTTCGTGACCAGTTTCTTTGAAGTAAATAACTAAGTTGTTATACATCGTAGACTGACATCAGTTGGAGGAGCAAAGGAAACCTGGGAGCACTGGACAGCTGTTTCGTCCTAGTGTGGGACTCCTCAGCATTGCGCACCCACGACCCCACCAGCAGGGATCGAACCCGCGACCTTCAGGTTCCGCGGCCAGCGCATTACCATTGAGCCACTGGGTCAGAATCCAATGCTTCATATTTACAACTTCTGTTAGCTCCCGCGGAACCTGAAGGTCGCGGGTTCGATCCCTGCTGGTGGGGTCGTGGGTGCGCAATGCTGAGGAGTCCCACACTAGGACGAAACAGCTGTCCAGTGCTCCCAGGTTTCCTTTGTTCCTCCAGCTGATGTCAGTCTACGATGAATAACAACTTGAAATATTTCCAAATCTCCACAACTCCCTCAAAATTTAAATAACTAAGTGTTTGTTATTCTACAAATTGGCATACTTCAGTTGTTATTAATTCAATCGCCAAATTAGTTTAAGTTTGTTATACCTCCTGGATCTTAAATGTGAAGTCAGGCTAAAGTATCTAAACTGACAGTCGATCCAACTGAACGTCACATCCTTTATACTGTCTCATGGTATGCCTTCTTAAGATCGGAGACGTGAGGCAAATTCAATTAAAAACTCGTTTTCTCGTTGCAAATAAATTCTTATTCTAGCTATCTTCATTTGCTTCTTCTAAAAAACTTAGATTTATTCAAACAACCACATTTTAAATATCAGTTGTTTTTCTATCATGTTAACAACTCATATCAAAGTGAGAGTTCACTGTTCGGTGTTGTGAGTATTTTGAAACAGAATTAAGTTTGAATGTATAGTCTGGTAGAAGTTAATATTTTTCTTATCAGACCAATTTGCAAACATCTAGACATAAGTATCCGTCAGATTATGTGCCTATCTCTAATTTACTACGATAGTGAGGTAGTTAAAACTATAAACTTACAATACTGTCTAATGTCTATTTCTCCATGTTGATAATAATATATATATCGAATAATGAATTATACGGTCACATGCCAATTTTACAGGCAATATCAGAATGCTATTTTTCTCACTGAAGCTGAGATAGTTTATAAATAATAAATCATCGTGCCATATAAAGCCTTCTGAAGTAAGCAATGGCTTGGATATTGCTGATCGCAAATATTAGGTAAAAGCGATTTGGGTTAAACAGTAGCAGTGAAAATTAATATGGGTATAATCACTCAGTGTGAACAGTATCCTGACAATATTAAGTCATATAATCAGTAAAAGTACATTGTATATTGAGTATTGAGCACAAATGAAGCTGAAAATATGTAAGTATCCAATAAATTTGTTGCTGCCTACAGACAGCATACGGAACTAGGGTTAAATACTGGGATGGATAAGAGGAGGGGGAATTAGGGTCTAATATTGTATGGTGTCATGCAGAGTTTAGCTACTCCATAGGTCCATGATGTTGTAAACAGAATCATTTGAAGAAAAATTAAGTCAATGATGACATTCTATCCAGCTACTGTTGTCATATTACTGGGGAGAATACATAAAGTTTCACCATTAGACCATTCAATAAGACTACAAGGTCGGCACTTCATATGAGGTCACTTTCGGTTAGCTTTGATTCAAGTGTTTCCTATTCGGATTTAACAAAATCTTACTTTGAGAGACTCAAGGATAAAACGTTACTTCTGTCTCACATAACTCTACCCTGACCAAACTGTTATTTTCTTTTTGGCTTCAATACATTTTACGTTTTTCAAAATAATGGTGCGACGGCAATAAATTTTGAAAACGACAAACATACTACTTTCATTCCTTGTTGCGAACAGTAATAATAAGTGACGTCTTGTACTATCTGTCATCGAAAGTCATTATCAGTCCAATCTATATTATCATGCTGAGTTTCGTCCCAGATACTTTTATACGTTCATAATAAAAAATGTCAGAATATGTGGTTCAAACCAGCCTATAGTACTTGTATCAACTGATAAGATGTAATATCAGGCTATTCCCACATTATTTATAGTAACGTTACGAACTTCACGAAAACTTTAAGTCATTATATAAACGTTTACATTGTCTTTAAATCTTGTTTCTTTCAGCAATTGATTATGCAGAAGGCTGCTGATGAGATGAAAGCAGAGATGAAACGGAGACAAGAGGAACGTGAAAACTTTTTACGTGGGAAAGTAGAACCTTTGAAACTTGATGGTCTTGGTGAAAGTAAGTGACTTAAGAATCTTCGTTTATATTCTTTTATAAGCCGCTGAATTAGATGTTTTGATTGTTTATTTAGCAGATAAATTTCGCAACAACTGTTCCACTTACATCCAGTTCAATAATATCATGTAGAGGATGTCTACTATTCCTTTAGAAAAATCTTATTAAAATAATTTTGTCAAAGTGAAAGCGTACTTAAAGTTAGTTTATTTTTCCTTGTCACAGCTACATGAAAATACGTCAATTAAGCATTTTACCGCTGTGTAATTCACTTCACTTTCTACTATCCGTCATTCAGGTTAGGCATATATTCTGATTATTGTTTTTTCATTGGAAATGTTTAGTCGTACTTGTATAGACTACCAGGAATGGGCTGTCTAAGGGGAGGCGGGGGGGAAGACCCTTGACAGCTGTCAGTTATCAGGAAGCCGATGACGTAGACCTCACATTTTTGATCTCTACCGAAAACGTACATCTGCAGTCTTACCAGATCTCATTTCAATGTAGACATTTTGGATAGAGGAAACACAAAGAATATCAGAGAATTTTTAGAAGTTTAGTATTTAGGTCAGTCAGCAATCAACAGATGTATAGATATAGACACAATCAATCAACCAGTGAGAAAAATGATAAACGACAGAAATGTCAGAGGTCAAGCAGAGGGACAGTCAACAGGAAAATCTATACAGTCCATAACACAACAACCAAAAGAAAAAACCGATCACAGACCACTTCGTCAAGGCAAGCTACTAAATCATTCACGAAGAGATCTTGACAGCTCACTTCATAGTGAAGTTAGTGCTGATGATGTCGTCTAGAAGGAAGATGAAAGCTTTATGAATAAACAGCCTAGCTCAGAGAACATAATACAACCAAGACAATTCGAATCTGTACCAGTCAGCAGCAAAGTAAAGGTCTTCTCCCAGCATAAAATTATCACTCCCAAAGGCTATATTATTCAAGTAAAATGATCACAAGGGATGATAATTATATCTATCAAGCCTTAAAGACCGTTAGAACTCTAGAAATTTAATCAATAATCTGACCAAAGTTTAGAATATGCCCTTCCTATGAATTATAGACAAAGCAAGTGACTTCAACCTTAAACTTTTAAGTTAAATTATTTTTGATATATGGATACGAATAGTTAATGCATAACAATATGCCACATTATTACTTCAGCCTATTTCTCGAGGCAATTGTTTTTTCACTGCATGATTCAAACAGAAGTATTTACTACTAGGATGGAAATGTGAAAAGAAAAACAATATATCTATCATTTAGGACACGGGAATTTCATTGATGCTCAAAATTTGTAAGCAAACAAACGCCCACTGTTTGTTTATTCAAAAATTTCAATCTGTTTACTGATTAAATGAATATTATCCCTGGAATAGGCTGACCAGTAATAGTAAGCACAGTAAAATTAGTACACTTGAATAAACTACCAAAAAATATGACTTATGCATACATATTTAAGTTAATAAACTGTAAATACACTTCATAAGTGATGATTATATATGTGATAAAAATTAGTATTTCATTTATGCCTTTAAACCATTTTAGGGAGGACTTTTTGATGATTGTGTTGCCAAGAAATTTGAAACGATGAATATAAAGCACTTTTACTATGCTTAAAGAGGTGATTTATCACTGGGGTCATTCATTAACCTGGTTACCCAAAAGTAAAGTTACAGAAGTACCTCCTATGATGTTATCGTATGCTGAAGTGTTATGTCAATTTGGTTCACTGCAAGTGACAACATCAGTTTTAATCCACCTATTAGAATAGCACTATTGACTTTATCCATAGTCTTCAGTTTATGTTATATCAGTCTACTGTAGATTGTTAACTCGAATGACTTCTATGACTACACGATTGGTGAAGACTTCTAAGAAGTTCCAATTTAAGATAATACAGGCCTTTTAATACCATCCTGTTTTCACTATTATCCAATCAATGTCAGTCCACGCAGTTTCACAATTTATCCGTTTTTCTACGGATCACTCATTGGAACAGTTATGTTTAAGCAACACTGAGCAAACTTTTTAGAAGAGAAATATGTATGAAGTTTATTAGTGACTGATTTTGCAAATAATGTTTCAAGTTTCCTAATAGGGGCAAACCAAGTGAAAAACAGAAAAATATAGGCACAAGTAATATTAACTAATAGTTGTATAACATGATACTTTGAAGTTTAAAGATTCTGAAGTACTTACAGTATCAAGATATGCAGTACCAAGTTAGGCATAAGTCGAACAAAAATGTTGGTGAAAATCATCTTTTTTTCACAGACTCTTCACTTTACCTTCATTTACTCCAGTTTCTGCTAAATTGTGTAGGAGAAGGGCTAAAATGACATTTTAGTCTGCAATCATATCGCATAATATAAACATATAATTTCTCAAAATTACTATTGTTACATGTACTATCCAGACTTTTATAAGAAGAAATCGTGATGTATAATTTCCCGATTTATTCATGTTTTAATAGATGACTTAACCGCTAAAGTCAAACAATTGTACGAACGTGTTCGACAACTTGAAGGTGATAAATATGACTGGGAAGAAAAGCTGAGAAGACAAGATTTTGAGGTGATTAGTTTTACTCAATAGCAACCAATTTTTCATACGATTTTCCTATCAGTTATTTATTATTTTTTCAAACAATAAAATCAGGGTTTCCCTTATCATTAAGTTGTAATATAAATAGTGGATTTTGTGAAAATACTATGACAAGACCATACTGTATTTTTAATGTTCAACATGAAATTTTATAGGTGATTAATACTTCATACTACTGAACAGTTTGAGTAAGCTGAATCAATAAATATTGAACACTGATGGTCACATATTAAATTAAAACAAATTTTAGGAGTAGAAGAACCTGTTTTACTTGTGACTGATTTCTAAATCAAGAAGTTATCAAAACTGTCTATGAAGATTAATGCATGCAGTCAGTTTGAATAGCCATACTCATAGCATTCAAACAAATGGATGTGAAGACAGATTCAGCAAACAGTGTGAAACTGAATCAATCCAGCTGGTTTCATTTCTGAAGTCATTTAGAAAAATATTTCAAAAAAGGTTGACGTTGAGAATAACCTTGAGGTTAACCAATGGTATTTGTATAAACAAAATAAGTAAATAAGTCAATCAATTTGAATCAGTGAACAGTGAAAACAAACAATTTTATTTTGAGGGGGTTGTGGAGATTTGGAAATATTTCAAGTTGTTATTCATCGAAGGCTGACATCAGTTGGAGGAACAAAGGAAACCTGGGAGCACTGGACAGCTGTTTCGTCCTAGTATGGGACTCCTCAGCAGTGCGCATCCACGACCCCACCAGCAGGGATCGAACCCGCGACCTTCAGGCTCCGCGACCAGCGCGTTACCATTGAGCCACTGAGTCCCATACTAGGACAAAACAGCTGTCCAGTGCTCCCAGGTTTCCTTTGTTCCTCCAACTGATGTCAGCCTTCGATGAATAAAAACAATTTTGTTAATTTGAAGTCTAAAAAGAAACTTATACCACTTTTTACAGTTTATCTCGATAGATGAATTTTATAAAAATTTACTTGTATATATAAACGCGTAATTTATCTTTCAGTATAGTAATCCGAAGATCGATTCATCTATTTGCTTTTTTGTGTCACTGGAGCTGCCGCTGAATTTACAAACGTTTATGACCCTGCAAGTTATTTCCTTGACTTTATCAGTATACTAGATGAATAGGTGGTCACAACCTTTGCAAAACGTTTCTGGTTATTCCAATTCTACCGGCATGATTCATTTATTCAACTTTAGCTTATCTTACAGTGTTCTGTCATCCAATATTTGTAGAGAAATCTTTAAAGGGGTGACTAATATTTATGGAGGTGTCTGTATGCTGAATAGCCATACAGAACCCTGGTATTCTATAGTGGAGGTTACCAGGAAATATACTGAAAAAAAATTTCTTCGCTTGATCATAGCAGTATTCAAAACTAGCTGTTAGTCAAATTAAAACTAAATTCCTTTATTATATTCACGGAATAACAAGAACTTTACCATCCACTCAGTTTTTAACCAATTATTCTTCAAATAAGTCTTACACAGTGAAGAATTGTGATCTGTTTATTTAGAAATCTTTCTAACCAATACATGAAAATTTCGGAAACAGGCTCCTTGCTTTACTGTTAGCCTTTTGAAAAAGTATAGGTCAAAACACAAATAATTAACGAACATATGTCATTATACAAAGAATCATTCATTAAAGTATTTGAAGGGTAAGCACAGACACTGAACAACAGTTTATGAAAGCTCGACTTTGCTTCACTGAAGATAATAGAAGTCGTAAGCAAACTTGGGAGGATGCTGTTGCTAGTATTACCCAATCATTCAGTGAACCGAAATGACCGGCCTCTATAGGCATTTAGGCCCCTGCGCATATGCATCGATACTGTCTGCCGCTTCAATTTTAGGTTATTGATGGATAGTGCCTAGTAATGGGATCCAGAAGGCGAGTTTTCTCTTGTTTGAGATTCGTTGGAGAGATATTGTTCCGATCACTTCAAACGCTAGAGCTTTGTCCACTAAGCCAGTAAGTCTTGATAGTGGCTTCTCGTGCGACAGCTATAGGCTTTATCTTGTTACTGGTATTACTTCGTCATCCTAGTGGAAACAACACTAGTCACTAGGATGAAGGTATATTCAACAGATTAGTCCCCAAAAGGACGAACGTGTGTCCTGGATTCCACTGTTATCCACTGTCCATCATTGTAACAAAGTTTAGAAAGGTACTTGTTTGAGTAACTTTATTGAGCAGCACTGGTTACCTACAACTGACCAGTATATTTTGTCATGAACGAATTGTGTACAAAACAGGCAATAATATTATAACGTAAAGCTGAACATAAAGAATCATGTGCCCATCATTTCTAGAATTTTGTTGCAAGAAAATCAGAACTATTTCAGATAGAGAACATTTCAGCCAGTGAGTATTATAAAAGTCTTAAAGTGAGTAATACACGTGAACATGATAAGTACGACAAAGTATTCGACTAAGACCTACAAAATAAAAGATGTGCGTATTCTTTGGTTAAAGTGGTACTAAATCGCTCAGTAATGAACTGATTCAGAATAAAAATGTTATCGTCGGAAACTCCATTTTTACATGTGAAACAATTTGGAGTAGACTATGTGTTCCGTTAGTGGTAAGATGGTATTCAATGCAACAACCTTCGAATCAGAAATGTTATGAACCCTTCTTAATCAATATAGACATCAAACAGTTAACTTACAGGGTAAGTGTGTAACTTTGTACCTCCAACATCTCTAATGATGACTGATATTATGTTTATACGACTAGAAAATTGTTAAAACAATAATTCAACATGATGATAGTCTCTGATAAATACTATGTTGAATCATTGAATATTCTAAGCGCGCTGAAAGCGCTGTTTAAATATATCAATCCCAAATAAACACCTTAGCAATAACTAATAGGCTAATCTGCTAAAACAAGATAATTTAAAAAACTGTAGTTTTCAAACTGAAGAAGGTATTATAAATAAAAATATAATTTTTACATAAAGACAGTAGAATAAACCAGCAACAATTAGCGAAACGCAAAGACTTTTTCAACCAGGTTATCATCGTGAACTGACATCATTTCGAGAACCACTGAAAACCTGGGAGCACTGGGAGGTTGTTTCTTCCCATTATGGGACTGCTCAGCAGAGTCCACCCACAACTTCGTCAAGAATCGGACCGGAGACCTTCAGGCTTCGCGAATAACACTTTACTATTAGGTCAGTCAGTCGTAATCCAATAGTCCAGGTTTTCCTACTTCAGCCAATTTACTACATAGCCCAATCTTCACCCAATGTCACTCTCGACTTGACTTGTCCGATCAATCACGAATTCCCATTAGAACCGAAATAAATCTCATCTCGAACCATATCAGTTAGGAGCACTGGATACTGATTCAGTTTGCAGGTTTATGGAGACTGACTGATTTTAGGTTGGTACTCATCATTGGTGGGTTTAAGTGTTTGCACTATTGAGGAGACTTGTGTTAGGAAGAAATAGCAATCTAATGCTCCCAGATCTTCAATGGTTCTGCAGCTGATGTCAGTCCGTCGTGAATGCCAACTTAGAGTTAATGAAGCCCCATAAACCTCCGAATAAACACTATTTATGGTCAGTGAAGTTCACTGAAACACTACGAGGATTCTGAAATGCTCCAGCATGGTCATAGTCTTCATAATTTGTATCCGTATGGCTAAGGAAGATAAACATCCATATCGTTTTTATTGGAGGTCGCATTATATCTTCCCTAGTCAGATGATCAGACTTCAAATTGTGTCTACAACACATATGTCTGATTTAATGTAATTAACATTAATAAGACTATTTATCCCCTAAATTAAACTTTAACTGAAATAAAATTGATTAGTGAACAATTACATTTTGTATTTGTGTCATTATTATTAAACAGATCAATGAATTAACTATCAAGGTCAATGATGTGAAAGGCAAATTGTAAGTTTATCTATTCTCTAATTGAGCATTCATAAAGTGATCAGTTTCTTAAGTATTGATTTATATACTTGTTTATGTGTGAATCAACATCATCCATCCAAAAGTTTGTTTAGTAAGTAACTTAAAAAACTAGTATCACTCTTGTCTATAAAGATGGACATGGCTTATTTTAATTCATTAGTCTATTAAATAGAATAAAACGTGTTATTTAGAAAAAAGCAGAGATATTCTTTATCGCTAACTTCTGATAATGCACTGATAATGACTTCTAGGCTGATACGATAAAGTTAATTAGGCAAAATTAGTTCCCAACATTCACAATGTAAACTAACTAACGTTGGTCAACATTCGATTAAATATGCTATTGATCTAAGGGGGTTTCGACAAGAAAAGCTGTGCGTAATTCATAAGGGCACATAACTGGAGTGACATAAGTAAGGCATATACAATCTCATCATACCCCTCTCTCTCTATCTCTTTTTAAACTGTGTAATCGAACCAATCATCAGCAGTTACTGTAGACTGTAAACTATAATTTACACCATATATATAATAGATTTACTTCCACTGGGTAATTCTTAAAGTTTGGTTTACGACAACTTTGGGATTCCCTTAGGTAGAGAAAATTATATAAATGTGGTGGATTTACCACCATACTGAGTCAAACAGTTCCATCTAATTTCAAGGTTTCATGAAGCTGTATACACTTAAAATTATTTGATCAGTGAAGTGCATGCAAAACAGTGATCATCGAAATTTAGTGCATCACAGTGTAATGCCAACTGGTTTAACGGCCATATAAGAAACTTGATCGATAAACTTCTTCCAGCTCTGGGTTATAATAAAAAAAAACCGATGTCAGTTATTCACTGAGTTATGCTCGTCCGGATCACTGAAGCAGTATCAGTCACTTCATGGTTTCAAATATGCTCTGCTGATGAAAGCGAACAAGTGCAAAACCCAGATTTATGGTTTCCCGCTTATTGACTAACAACATCTAACACCAAAATACTGTGAACAGCTTGAACTACTGATCCTAATTTGATCAGTTGTTGAATGGAATTACTTCTAGTTTACGAAGAGAATCATGGAATATGAGCATCTTAACTTCCAAAAAATACCTTAGGTTGAAGGAAACCATTCTGAGATAACTTGTTTGGACAAAGTAGTGACCACCTTAATCACACACTCTTGTCAGCATAAGAACTGGATTAATTTGTATTGGTATTGTATTTTCTGATGTTCATGCATCTAACACCGACAAGAACAGGTGACAGAAGCATTCCTGTGCATCATGTTGAAAAATTGTACTTCTTTAAATTGACCTAATAATTACATCAATGGTTTGTTGATCTGTTACTAAATTCATATAGTGTGAAACCAGTTTTAAAGAAAGTATCTAAAACTGAAAGTCATATGGCACGATTTGAGAAGAAGGAAGGTGGACATTCTCTTTCTTCCTTCCGTAATCAACTCAAGTCAACGGGTCATAGTAAGTATGCTCTAGAAGAAAAGGATGAACCTGTGGTAAGTAAAACAAGTGACTTTTATGACAAAAAATTTGTGCTAACACATAAAGTTTCCCAAAATTGTCATTTTATTGCCTTTATAATTTGTTACTGTCATTAGTCTATGATTAAATTAGGGAAATAATTAGATTCCACCCCAGAAAATATCCCTTTCATACACTCTCGTTTTAATATGATACAATCCACCTCTTACCACCTTCCAGGACTCCTTAAATTAAAATTCAAGTACACTTCTAAAGCTTTAAACGTCTAACCATGACCTATTCTCATGAAATCTACCACTTAACAAAATATTTTGGAATTTAGTTGTACGTATTACAACACTTATTGCCAAGAACTACATGCTGACAAGAAGGAGCTTTCAAAATCATTGAATATTGAATGAATATTTTATTTTAAGCAGAAGAAAGTCAAAGAAGTAGGGACTTTACAGGCTACCCAAGCAACTGCTTAGATAACTACTTAATTTATTTTACGGAAAAATATATTTCTGGCTGGAATGTGGAAACCTGAATTATCGTTTCAGCAGCTAGTACAATGACCTTTAAGGTCACTCTAAAAAAGTGTATTGTCAACTTATACAAACCATGTAGTTTAAAAAAGAGAGATTGTCACATCCAGATAGTCAAAGAAAATCATGCCAAATGTACTTATGAGACACAACCATTTGTTCATAGGTTGATATGTCATACTGTACGGTATTTCTTCACCTGATGGTTATCTTGTAGTGCAGTGATTATTTTCTAAAAATAACTTTACGAAACAAAGACCAATTTCAGCTTTTACAGGCTATCCATAAAGTCTGTGTACAATTAAAAGTATTTGTACTATTATTTGTGTTTAAAAACAGCTTTATACGGTCAGTTTTTGATAAGTAATTATGTCTGATAAAATACCGTCGAATAATCGATTGTCATGAGATCAACAATAAATTGACCTTATTCTACTTGTTAAACAATGAATATCTCTAGAAAAAACACATTTCTGACGGAATATGAACATTTCAAGAAGTATGCTTACATCATTTTATTCGTACAATGCTTATATCTTCACTAAAGAACCTAATTCCAATCATGGATAGTATATTTAAGAAACATTCATCTTTAAAACGTGTTGGATTTATGTTACAATTTCATTTATTTAGTATGATTATTTGGATACTTCAAAACTTTTGCTACAAATCGCTTAACTCAATGTTTACACTTCAAACTTGTTTGATATAATTTAGTTGGCAGTTTAGACGAAAAGTAAGACATTACTTACGATCAAAACGTTGGATCAGTCCAACTTATCTTTCCCCGACTAGGACCGAAAATGAAGTGATTTCGATCGTTAAAAAAAGAGAAACAGATAGAGAGAGAAAGACACCAGTGCTTTTAACGTTATAAAAATGCTTAGCTGTTAATGACTTTAAAAACTGGAAAACTAAGATCTAGGATTTTATTTTGATATTCTACAACCTACTAAAATCTGTCATGTTATCATTGATAATATTGGTGAACATACATTTTTGGAATTTTACACACTTAAACAAATGAAAATGAAACAGAATGGGACAGTGTTTTTCAGATCTCAGTAGAAGTAGTATACCTTGTAGAGTTGAACATAGGCAGACATCATGTCAAGGTCAACAAAATTCATTGAAAATAAATTCAGCAATTTATGAGTTAAAGGTATCGTTGATCACACAACTTTTGAATCCAAAGTGAATTAAATCTACGCGCCTTATTTTCAACCAGTTATACAGCCTAACACCAATAAATGTTTCAAGACTGAAAATGAAGTTTATCTATTTTCAACAAAAAGATGTACCGTTTGAAAGAGAACAATTCTGACAGTTGTAAATGTATTGTAGATTACCTTCAGATTTCTAGACTTAATGAAGATAGAAGGCTTTTTATTTATTTATTTACCTAGAAATATAAGTTAAATAGATCATACATTTAGTGATTACCGGATACTAAGCAACGACAAAAATATTACTTCATTCGAGCTAAGGTTTCGTTAGTTAATTGAGGCAAACAATTAACTAACCTACATATGGACCAACTTTTCTCTGAACTAAGTTACTGTTCCTCTATCCCATTTAGTTTGCTATTTGTTAAGCATAAAATTAGATTTTAAACACTACTACTTTTCAAGCATGTGATGTTAAATTCAGTTTATTAAAAATTAGTTTTGACAATATGCTTGGTCTAATGGTGACAATGATGGTTTATCAGTTAGTTTTCATTCAAAGTACACGTTTACTCAAAATCATGCATTCATGTATTTTATTCAGTAATGAGGAATCCTCATGTATCGTGTTTCATTCATTAAGGTGTTGTAAGCAGATGTCTTCCCTAAAACTCATCAATCAAGTGCTGTGGCATTCAGTATCGGACTGCGACACCGGAATGGTAAAGAAAAGCAGACCACTCTAACTAGTAAGAAAGAGACTAGGAAAATGCTGGTGATCATTCATCCTTAAATAATCATATAGTTGCAGATATACCTTGTTAACGAGTTTTAATAAGCATGAAACCTAGGTCAGGCAAGACATTCTGCCGATTGCCCCCAACAAAATAACATCCAGAGATGTTCACCGCAATGATGAACTGCCCAGCTTGGTGGCTACATTATGAAATGCTAGAATTTGGCCAACACTCAGGATATGACTGTATGAAGTTGGTTGCTCTACAGAGTTCAGCCAGTTTATAGTTGAACACAGTTTTAACTCACAACAAAAGCAGATGTTTAAATAAAGTGTAATATAACTACAAGTGGCGGATTGCAAATTTTTGCCAGTCAAGATGTGAATAATTCATCAGCCTTTAACAATTAACAAGAATTTTACAAAGTCCTAAATTTTCTCTATGGAAGCTTTAAGTAACTCTTCAGCTTTCACTAACTAATTTTACTAATACTTTGAATTGTGAAATAACAATTCATGGATTAATTAAATCTCTAATCTTTGAGACATTATAAAATTCGTAGATGTTAGTTGGTTGAAGGCAATCGGTAGGAAACCCTAGATCTAGGTTTCGTGCTTTTTGGCACTCGTCAACAAGGCGTATCTACAACCTCGACGGAATTGATGTCCCGACCGAGACTAGACAACATAAAATTGGTTACACTTCTGTGACCAATCAATACACATTATGAATTCACTTTCATTTACACTGACTTCTTGATGACAAGTACTAGAAAGAAATTATTGTAGTATTGATAGTGTATTTCAAGTTTTTAATATTGAAAAATTTGCACCTTGAGTCGTTTTAGAAAAAGCTGAGATACATTGTAGCATTTTAACAAAACACATAACCCTAACACAAAGTAGTTTCAAATGCATATGTCTATAAAGATGTTTATTATATTGTGTAAAACTGCATGGTATAGGCTTGAGTTTTATGAGTAGATTTTTATTAAATTTAACAAAATAATTTATTTTATTTGATATATTTTTAAAAAAAAATTATATAACTGATTTGTTTTATTTTTGTTTGCATCCCAACCTTTCTCTCCCCTTTTCCCCATAATTCATGGATCTATCACACTTGAAATGTGTTCTTGTATACAGAGTACACCCAAATAAAAGTTGTATTTATCCCTTGTCTCAAATACCATCAATCAAATAATATCCAATCAGTTTATCTTCTTATCAACAGACTTTTACGCCTATTTTTATCTCAGAAAAAATGATAAAAATTCTTAAAAACAGCAATATGTGTTTGGTAGACAGAATGACTGCAAGTGAGTGAGTGAGTGAGTGAGTTATTGAGTGAAGAATGAGTAACAGAAGAAAGGAATCAATCGGTGAGTTTAAAGTGAAGGAGATTGATTTATACTTTGTTATTCAGTGTTATCAAATGCTTATCATCTATGCTTACACTCATATAGACTTCATCTTAGTGTTGCTATTTATCAATATATTTTCTTGACTGATTCTTTTCGTTTTGGTTATTTCGTTTTTCTGTTCAATCTTTGTTTATATTCAATTAATATTTGTATGTATGTGTAGAAAGAAGGTTGGCGTGATCAGCTTAAGCCTAAAGAATAAACAAAACAACAAATTCTAGTTGTGAAAAGAAGTTTTCGTATTGATTGTAAAAATTGAATTGTTGAATATAATGATTGAATATTCCAAAGAATTCAATTTTGTGAAGAATGCACACTAGTGACATGTTGTACTTTTGTTTTTGCTTTTTTTCTCCTTCTTACTGTTTCCCTTTCTTTTTCTTCTATTTCTCCTGTATTTTTTTTAACATGATATACATGTATCTCATTATTTTAGGTGTAATTATGTAGTTTCCTCATTGTTTTCTTTGATTTTCTTAAGAAGTTGGCCATCAAAAGAATAGATACCCTTTTAGTTGTGTACTACATTTTATTTTCTCAAGGAAGTCATCATTATCTTTGAAATTCTGACAATCTGGTTGTAGAATACTTCAACTGTTTGGTCTATTTTTATTATGAAGCCTTATTTTACGTTTCTTTATTTGATATTCATCTATTAGCTTTACTCAAGACGGCATAATGAAACATATTTAATCAGTTATTCTTATGCTTGACCTACACTCTATTCAAAGTTTTCTCTACTGTACCCCATGATCTACTATTAAAAAACTATTTTATTCATCTTGAAAGTATGAAGATTACCATTAACTAGAAAAGACGGGTTACTCATTCACACACTCACTCACTAAATCAATTACTGCCCTTATTGTTGTAACCATTATTCTGGCTAATCTCTGTTGTTTAGTGTTATATATATATATATATATATATATATATATATATATAATCTCTTTACTGCTTTTAAATCCGCTGATCAGTATACAATTGTGTAAACACTGCAGAATTTGATAAGTTATTATTGCATTTCCAACTTTCTACGTTTCTGTCTATCACTTTGATCCTATTTCTTTTTTCTTTTTTGTATTGCTTATTATTTCAACTGCTGTGTTATTTACATTGCTTCAACCTGAAGTCTTCAACCCTGTCTTTAAAAACCAGCAGATAACAATAAAATAAAAGTACCTAACTAATTTTTGAAACATTTTTATGCGTTATACTAATGACAAGATTATATGATAAAGTTGTAGTTAGGTAGATCCATCTTGAAGTTGGTAATCGATAATTTAGGTGTAAAAGAAATATGTACCTTGGGATGTTTTTTCTATTTTGATTACACTTATCAGTATTTAAGATCAATATAGCCTAATTGGATACAAGATACGGATTTTCAACACCAACGTCAAGTCAGTGCTCCTGTATGGTTCAAAGACTTGGCGCGTCACGAAAGGCATTTCCAATAAACTACAGACATTCATCAACAACTGCTTACGCTCGCTACTGAAGATCAGATGGATTGCCAGAAAGAATAAGTAACAAGGAGCTCTGGGAACGAACCAACCAAGAACCTATCACGCAACAAATATGCAGGAAGAAGTGGAGGTGGATTGGCCATGCACTGAGAAGGCCGACTGAGGACATCACGCGTCAGGCCAGGTAGTTGAGTGGAATCCCCATGGGAAGCGACGAGTTGGACGTCCGTGGTGAGGGTGACATGGAGGAGGTCGTGCGAGGAGGAAATGAGAGCTTCTGGGCTGTCGTGGGACCAGGTTCAAAAGATCTCAGAGAACAGGATGAAATGGAGACGTGCTACTGAAGCCCTATGTTCCACTAGGAACCCAAGGGACTAATAATAATAATAATAGCCTAATTGACGAAAGTCTTTTTCTCCTGATAACTACTGTTATGTAAATCACCACATTAGTTTGAAATTTCACTATTCAGTCTATTCATACATGGTTGGTGTACCTTAGATTGGAGAATTCTCAATACTACTTACAGACAAAAATGCACACTGACGTGTTCAAGACCATTATTATTTGTCCCTTGAGTTCCTAATGGAAAATAGGGCTTCATTAGCACGTCTCCATTCCACTCTGTTCCCTGTAATCTTTTCAACCTGGCACCACGACATTCCATAAGCTCTCATTTCCTCCTCGCACGATCTCCTCCATGCCACCCTCTCCTCAGACGCCCAACTCGTCGCTTCCCATCTGGGTTCCACTCAAGTGCTTGGCCTGGAGCATGATGTCCTCAGTCGGCCCTCTTAGTGTATGCCCAACCCATCTCCAGTTTCTTCTTCTGCATTTTTGTTGAGTGACAGGTTCTTGATTGGTTCGTCGCCACCCAGCCGGCCAGAGTTCCTTGTTGCTTGTTCTCTCTGGCCATCTGATCTTCACCTTTACTAATACTAACTCATTATTTGTATTTGGTTTATACCTTGAAGATTAATAGTAAAAATCTTCTACTACTAGAGGTAAATGCAATCCACAGTCCTTTCTTAGCTCAACAAGTTACTGATCAGACGTCCATTTTGACATATACAGTGAATGAAGCAATTTCACTAAGTTATAAAAAATTAGTTAACAGGTAAAAGAAAGCAAGAAGGTATCTATATAACATGATATCCTAACCGATCAGATACGAACAACAGGTTACTTGCCTTTGAAGACTGAAATTCTCTGCTTCTTGCCAAGTCAGTCAATCCGATAACTTTCACATCAACTTCTTTACATGAAGCAGTTTGAAGCATATAGCCTTCGGCGTTGGAATACATACACTTAAAGAGGTAGTAAAGAAATACTCACCTAATTTAATAGTGATGCTAAAAGACATTCCTTTTTCCAACTCTGCATGTTAGAGAGGCTAATGTTAGGCGACTGCAAATCACAGTTGTAATCTTTTGGAGCACAATGAATCACGTATTTCTAATCCAATTCTCAACTTTAAGTTTCAAAATTGTATTTATTTACTTCATCTTAAGCATTATTAGTTGTATTTAGTTTTCTGTAACTGTGAATACATAAGATTTGTTCCATCCTCTAATCCTAGTTTTGTTTTACACAAAAAAATGAAAGAGTTAAAATACCCGCCAAGGATTTTGCACCTTCTGACTGTTTCTTCATGCTCTTAATTTAACTGGTGGCACTGATAGAATACAATCAATACAGATATCTTATGATTAGTAACTGTTTCTAATAATTATTTCGAGCATCCTAGTTCATATTTTGCTTCGTCGTTCGCTGATAATAATTAATTAGGTTATTTAAAGAAATCTTCAAGAAATGCAAAAATTTCTAGATATTTCCATAGGTATATTTAGAAACTGATATTTCCACTCTAAAGAATGACCGAGAAGCCTAATTAACCAATTATTATAACGAAACATTTTCTGTGTAAAACTGATCAGAACACTGCTGGATATATGTAGGAAAGAGTAGTAGTATTACTGCAGAGTAAACAATACATGAACACACCTAAAACGCTCACTGACAACTAACCCTACTCATATAGAATTATCACAAAACGACGATAAACTTGCTGATTTCAGTGATACTTAACTTATCCTCATCCTCTACACCCTATGTGTTGTTTCACTTGTTGATGAAGATACCCAGCCAACAACAACAGCAAGAACTGATCACCATCAATGGGAGAAATCTAAACGAAGTTGTCACTTTCATCTACCTAGGCAACACAGCATCATTTCAACTACAGGCAGCAGTAGCGGCACACACGAGGATGTCAAAACCAGCATCAGAGAAGCAAGACAGTCTTTCAATAAACGGAAATCAATGTGGAGATCTACTGCACTCAGAATAAAGCGTCAACAACATCCAGGTTTTCAACACCAACCTGAGTCAAGTGAGTCAGTGCTTCTATGGGATGGTTGAGAGACTCCGTGTGCTACGAAAGGCATTTCCAACAAACTACAGACATTGATCAACAGCTGCTGCCTACGCTGGCTCGATACTGAAAATCAGATGGTGAGAATAATCAGCATAAGCAACAACGAACTCACTCTGACAACGAACCAACTAAGAGTGTATCAGTCAACAAATATGGGGAAGGAGAGAGTGGATATGAATAATTGGATTTGAGACATACACTGAGAAGATTATTATTGGGGCACATCACATGTCAAGTCAGGCCGTCGAGTGGAACTCGAGTGGGAAACGACGAGTTTGATGTTTGGGGGTGAGGGTGGCATTGATGAGATCGTATGAGGAAGAAATGAGAGCTAATGGGTTGTTGTGGAGCCAGCCAGGTTAAGGAGACTGCAGAGAAGAGAGTGAAATGTTGACGTGCAACTGAAGCCCTATATTTCACTAGAATCCCATAGGAAAAAAATTAAAAAAATAATGATAATCTTGCCGGTTCCAAATAAACTAGATAGTTATCAGAAGTCTTGTCCTAGTAAATTGTGAATGCTGAACCAATATATTGCTTTCAAAGCTACGAATATTCATCAAAAATCAAATATACGTCTTTATAATGCAAACCACTTAACTCAACTTTCACTCAATTTCTTTCCCAGTACAGAGAAAATTAAAATTGCTTTTTGAATTCATGAGAAACGTTTTTACCCGAAGCAGATGAAACTGGCTATGTTGCTTTCTCTGAGCTGGATATTCCAATCTCAGGACTTTCGCTGCCACTCTAGACAACATCGTCAGCAAAAACTCAGAAGAAGGTGAACTTCAAGATTTCTCCAGATGTTGTTCGGTAGCTTCTTCTCATTACCTTGAGTGTGTTTAGCTGCTTCTGCCATAAGCCATGTCACTGTCCGCATATTTATTTCGATTGGCTGTTTTGCTAACGTGAACTCTAACCATCTTGTTGTTTCACTTGTATTTCCTCTATCTCAGACTTCCTTATTTTCCCTGTCAAATTTATGTTTACGATAGTCCATATGCACTGACAGGAGTTGAACGATATTGTGGCTCTTGACCGTCGCTTTATGGTAATGTAGACGGACACGAAGAGGGCAGCCACTCTATCCGATATGATGTTTTTCGCAGTTTCTGCAGTTTATCGTGTAGATAATATTAAATTTATCTCTCTTCAGTACAGTATCTTTTGACCTAAAATGGTTACTGATGCAATTTCATCAAATGATGTTTGTAAAACTCTCACATACCACTAAGAAATTTTTCAAAATTCCAATTAGATAACATAAACGTTTCTAAATCTCTGTAGCTCATAAGCTTGCAGGC